AAGTTGTTTTTATTAATAAAATAAAAAGTTTAATATATGACAACTATTTCCGTTTAATTATAATAATTCTTAAGTGGACCTTCATTTATTGGGAGGGACTGTATATTTATTTCTTATATTTGTAATGGTTAATAAACATGTGATTCCAACCTAATTGTTGAATCAAAAGATCTAAATCAATAGAAAATTTTTCTTTGCCTTGTGACTTGCGCGTATAAATTCGTTTTTTTTTTGAAGTATTCAACACAAAAAATGAGTGAATCAAACGCCAAAGCAGGTTCATGGGATATTCTGGAACCAAGATTAAGTCCTTTTGTGTACGTCATTTTCTAAAAATTAGTTCTCCTAAAAGATTTACGAGACGTTTCACCTTTTTCTTAGTATGGAAGCCTTGGCTGCCGCGAATTTTTCTGAAATGACTCCTGTACAAGCAGCCACTATTCCCTTGTTTATGAAGCATAAAGATGTTGTTGTCGAGGTATTTCTATAACAAATAGAGTTTCTTTTGTTTCGGTTATATTGAGCTAATTGTAGAATCTCTCTAGGCTGTAACTGGCTCTGGAAAAACTCTTGCATTTGTTATTCCGATCATTGAAAAATTGTTTCGTCGAAAAAATCGATTGGCACAAAATGAGATAGGGGCACTGGTCATAACACCTACAAGGTTCCTTCCAGTTCCACGATAAACGTTTTATAGCCCAGCGTTTGTCCTGTATTAATAACAATCATTTTAAAAAGGGAATTGGCACAGCAAATATCATCAGTGTTTTCCATCTTTCTTGACGATCATAAGCCAAGACATGCACTTATAATTGGTGGTACTACTACTATTCATGACGACATTGCTCTCATTAGAGATTTAGGTCCGGATATTATAATAGGAACTCCTGGAAGACTACAGGACTTGTTAGTTGGAAATGGAAACACAAAAAGTCCAGTTAATACTAAGGAATTAGGCATTTTGGTGTTAGATGAAGCTGATAGGCTACTAGACATGGGCTTTTCACAAACATTAAATGACATTATTGCTCATTTACCCAAACAAAGAAGTACTGGACTATTTTCAGCAACAATGACTGATGGACTCGCAGAAGTCGTTCGCGTAGGATTACGAAATCCCATAAGAATAGTGGTCAAAGTCGAAAATATCATATCTAAAGTTGAACAACGCACGCCCGCAACGTAAGGACACTTTATGTCAAGATGATCATTCTTAAGATACATAAAATCTAATATCAACATTTTTTTTCTGAAGGCTTCATATTAGATATATTGTTTGTGAGCCACAACAAAAATTGGCGCAATTATTACGGCTGATATCAAGAGAAACCATTGCAAAGAAATATATAGTGTATTTTGCAACTTGTGCGTGTGTTGATTATTTTTATAAGGTACTGTCATTTATCATTCGTTATTATTTAAATAAATAAATTAATGATATTATTACCTACACAGATATTTTTGAAACTACCACAATTAAAGGGAATATCAATTTACTCATTTCACGGTCAAATGGATACAAAACGGCGAATAGGTTTCTTTATTTAAAACTATTATTTATGTATTTATTATTTGTTGACAATTGTTTATTGAATTTTTCTTCAGCCACATATCAAGCATTCGTTAACCTTCCGCCCATATCACCTGCATTACTTCTGTGCACTGATGTTGCCGCAAGGGGTTTAGACGTTCCTGATGTAGATTTTGTTATACAAATGGAGCCACCTCAGGATCCTAAAGTTTTTGCTCACCGATGTGGCAGAACAGCGAGAGCGGGAAAAGAAGGAAAAGCCATTTTTTTTTTAGGGAGAGGAAGGGAGGAGGTTTATGTAGGAAAGTGCCTTATTATTTAAATTTCAATATATAATTGAGAAAATGTCCTAAATTAATAATAAATTTATCTTCGAACAGATTTCCTGAAAATTCGTAAAATACCATTACAAAGACAACCATATATTTTACCCGAAGTCAATGAATCTGTCGTAAAAACTTCATTTTCAAACGATGATGCTTCTGTCGTTGATGAGGAAAACGATATTCTTCTGGAACAAATTCAGAGTATAGTTTTGACTGATCGAGATCTTTATGATAAAGTATAAATACTTTGTTCATGTGAAAGTTGGTTGATTTGCATAACTTAGGCTAATTGACTTTCTTCTAAAAGGGAATTAGAGCTTTCGTTTCATATATTCGTTTCTATTCTAAACACGATTTAAATTATATATTTCGATTGAAAGACCTCGATTTAGGAAAAGTTGCAAAAGGATTTTGCCTAATACGGGTAATTAAGATTCTATGATATGTTGTCATAAATTTAAAACTTTATTGTTGACCGATAATTAACTTATTTTGAATCTTTAGTTGCCTAAGATGCCGGAGCTAAAAAATTATAATATAAAATTTGAAGAAGTTCATGTTAATGTGAGTGCATTGAGTTTGATCGGTGTATGAACAATTTATCATAATGTTAATTCGTTATTTTAAAGATGGATGAATACAAATATGCGGATAAAGCGCGTGAAAAAAGTAGATTGCTGAAATTAACAGAAGAAAAATCAAATCTAAATTCACTTCCAGAAAAGAGGTATGATTGAAGTTTTCTTTTAGCAAAAATCAATTTATTCTAATATTGTTTTTATAGACAATTACGAAAAGTGCCTAAGGGTCCATGGTCAAAAAAGGCTGTCTCAAAACAACGAAAACTAGAACGGAAAATTAAAAAAGAGAAAAAGAAAGAATACGTTAAAAAAAGGAAGGCAGATGAGACGATTGACGAGTTTTCTGAGAAAAAGGTTAAGAGAGATGAGGATGAAGCCACAAACAACAGCATTGAGGATGAATGGGATGAATTGCAAAAAGAGAGAAAATTAATAAAGAAATTGAAAAGTGGAAAAATTAATCGTGAAGAGTTTGATCAAGAGATGGCATCGATAACAGAAAAAGAGTTTTTAATAAAAGAAAAAATTTAAATAGGGAAAGTTTATTTAAACATTTCTTTTATAATGAATTTTTCCAACTTTCATGCCCATTAAAATGTGATAACATTAATCACAAGATTTTTATTGTACTATGTTTAATTTGATATGATAACATGATTCACTTTTTTTTCTCAGTGTAATATATAAATTATCTTAAATAAATAAAAATAGAAAATATTTTTTTGTAATCTTCATTTTTTAATTAATTAATTTATTAGTTTTCTATTGCAGAATTAAAAATGTATAAGGAAAACATTTACATTTACATTTTATTTTTAATTAATATACATGTATTTTTTATATTTTTAATCTGCAACCAATTATGTATAAGTACTTAATTATACTTACTTATTAACAGTACAAGGTCTTTAAAACAGTTTATAAGATGATACATTATTTATTTATTAAATAATTCTGTTTTTATATTAAAAAAAATTAATTATTTAATTATTTATGTATTTGGCAAGCATTAGATATACAAATTTTATTAAACATTATAGCTTACTATTATTATATCCATGATTTTTACAAAGTAAATTAATCAAAGTCTATTATATGCAGGTGACATATAAACTTTAAGAATTCTTATAAAAGAAAAAAAAAAAAGTAGGTAGAAGCTAGTATCTAGTTATATTATCAATTGCTTATATGTATTTGTTATATAATAATGGTAAAAAAATATAATAAAATAAGAAAAATCAGATTTTAGTATGTATTGAATCCAAAAAATCAGCTTTTTATTATAATATAGCCTGTAAAATTTTTTTTTTAATTGGTCAAGGGCATTAGATATAAGATCTCTATTGTCAAAAGTATTAGATATAAGATTTTTATTGTCAAGGACATTAGATATAAGATTTTTATTGATAATTTAATATTTTACCATTACATTAAACATTTCTATAAGCTAGACTATTGTTATTCTAAATATAAATTAATGCTACCTAATAAATATTATATATGTGATAAAAATAATAAAGTTTTATTAGAAACAAAAGTTATATTTAATTTCAATTTTAAAATTAATTTATATATTAATTTATATATTAATTATAAATATTATTTTATTATATAATGCAAAATTTGATTTTTTTTCAAATAAATATTTAATTATATATTATTAAATAATAATAAATTAACAAAATCTATTAAAAAATTAATTTATTCATTATCACTTAATATTTGATTAATTAAATCTTCTATATTAAAATCATTATAACTATTATTATTATTATTATTATTATTATTATTTTTTTTTTAAGTTGACTAAGGGCATTAGATGCAAGACTTTATTTACTAATTGATAGTACTGTCATTACATCAAACATTTTTACAGACTAAACTATTGCTATTCTAGAATGTAAATTAATGCTACCTAGT